ATCCAACAAGCGCGAGTGGAATAATTGTTTTATTAAAAACGCCCCCAAGATATTAGGCAAATCTTGCCAAATCTTAAATTTTTTAGCTCCCTTTTAATTTTAAGCTGACGTGTATGCTTACCCTATTTGTAGATTATGGTATATTGGCTCATATACCATAATGGCTAAGCCAATAAAAAGTCTTGAATTGCATTATCCAATGATCCAGTTTTTAATAATATGTTATAGTTTGCTTTAAGGGAATGTTGAGGTGTTACCAGGGCCTTTTGAGCAAGACCACTTCAGGACATGCACTTTTTGTTTTGTGATATCAATTCTTTACTTTCCACCACTCACCAATAATCTAAATGGAGGTAAGCTAGGTTACCATTACTCCATTGTTTTGGGGTTTTGTCCCAAAGAATGGCCAATCGATTTTTAACTCTTTGAACCCTAATATCAGTGTACACATTTTCCATACTGTTCTCTATACATTTCCTAACATGCAGACAACAATATTTTCTTTAATTAAGATAAGCCTTTTCACAATATTGTAGTTGATATAAAGTGTGCACATACAATTCCTAATTAGGGGTTGCTATGCATAAGAAAAAATGATAAGAGAGCGCAAGAAATGAATGAATAAAAATCATCCAAGCACTTTCCATGGTATGAAGTTTTTATTCTATACATACTGAGATCTTTTCTTACTGACTGAAACATTTCAAAGATTAGAAGTGAATGTCTGTGAAAACACCTTGTTCATACAATCAGGGACACCAATGATAGGATACTTCACAGTCCAAATCTCAGTATGTATGAAATAAAAAGGGGTACCTGTATGTCTCTTGTTGATAGATATCAACTTCCTATGTCTGGGATACTTTGTATAAAATGCACCTAAAAATTAGGTTAAATAAGACAACAATCAAAGATAAATTTTATGTAATGCACATGAAGATCATGTTCCCAGGCATTTAATTAGCAAGTTCTGTTCAGAAGTGGATAGCTGACTAGAATATTCTTATAACATAGTAAACTATCCTCACAGAAAAAGTGGGTTTTAAAAATTTGAATTCAAGATATTGGATATCAAATGTAACAAAGTTCTAGAGCTTTGTTATGAATAAATAAAAGTGAATTACCCTATACAGATTGTACAGACCAGAGGAAAATTGCAAGTTTGATATTTTGAGTTTGTGCTGATTGAAGAAGTGAGAAAACATTAAAAAAAAAAAAGGAAAAAAGGAAATTGAGCGATGAAAATACACAGACTAACTGCCAATAATCGAAAAAAAAAAACCCTCTATTTTTACTCTTAAAAAGTCTAATTTTTTAGGGTAAAGTGTTGTGCCTATCTCATCATTGAATACAATTTTCTTACCATTACAAAATTTTTATTTAGTTATATTCATTCAAAGGAAAGATATTTTATTACATAGAGGAAAACAAACAGATGTTCATGTGCTCATCAAACAGGGGCAGCTGCTTTCTTGTATTTTCCATGAATAAATTTAAAACAATTGACTCAAATTTTGCATTACAAGAAATGTTACAAACTACGTCCCACACATTTTCTTGTGTTTTATGACTCAAAATTGTGTTATTGAAGACAATCCTGAATTTTTAAATGTGAATGCTCAATATTTATATGCAGATCATACAATAGGTGATTTGTTAGATAACAGTTTTAATAGGAAAAAGTTACATAATTCAATGCCAAAGATAATTTAAGTAATTTATCTTTTTTTATTCCTCAGGTGTAAATCAGGAAGAAAATTGATGTGCTACTTCTCGTATTACAGGACCTAATAAAGGGTAAAACGCTGAACCGGAAGGGAAATCAAAATGTAACAAAAAAATAATATGATCCGAAAATAAGAAAACCTATTACACAATTGTGCAAATAACGAAAGCTAGTTGACATTTCAAACTTTAATCCTCGTGTCACTTTCCTTCACGAAAGTTTATAACTCTCACGATCAAATGAAGGTTTTGAAATGGAAGCCTTTTCAGAGGTTCCATCTACGATCGATACAATCACGTTCCTGTTCGTCTGTCACCTGCAGCATTCGATCTGTATCGGTTTTATTCTTATGGCAGCTGCGGATGGTTTAGTTTTTCTTCACATTTCAATTGTGCTTCTAAATTGTCAGCCACTCATTACCCTCCAAACGAGTAACATATTGTTTAGCACTATTTTAAGATTGATTATCAATATTTCCGACAAGCAACTTTGAGATGTTTGCCTTCCAAATTTTTTTAAAAAAAATTCGATCACCAAAATTTGAACGTGATGAGCACCAATAAAACTATCTGAAAACAGTTCTAATCATAAAAATTACTACTAGCCCAAGTTTAAATCAGTCCTTTTCTAGCTAGACAATAAAGTCGAACGAACTGTGATTCTTAAAACGAAAGTTGTAGAACTTCAACACATCACGCAGGTTTCGCACGATTCGCGGATATAGAGATGAAAATAGATATAAGTTTCACACTTTCGATTGCATTTAAAGAACTCGATACTTCATAAAATATCCTCAAATACCTGCGAGAGCGTCACGTTCGAAAATGATATAGTCACGGCCCGCACGCTCAAGGTAAAATCCTAACTGAAGCCCTGTAATGAGAAATTCCTAAAATTCAGTATCCACAAGTGCACATAAATTTACCAAGAACGTCAAAGTGTCCATCATTTTGTTCGTTTCAACTTGAAACAAGGGCAAGAATTTAAATTAAACGACGATTTAGGAATCACTCACCGCCTGGGCCAGCTCCGACAACACAGTACTCGTGGTGAACGGCATTTCCAGTTGATTTCGCAAACGATAAACAGGAAACGAAAATAGCGACCACACTGGTTAACCAGTTCATAGCGCGATTTGTAAGTCGTTGGTAAAATCGATTAGGGAAAGGAGAAAGCAAAATTGATGAAACTTTGGCAACTTGTTAACTCACACTGGGCATCATTAGGTTCCCAAAACAAGAAATCTTCACACGCAATCCGCAGATCGTGTTTTGAACTTATTTGGCTCCTGGCTTGATCGTGATTGGCTGCCGTTAAGAGCCAATTAGCTATTAACAAAGAGACCATGATGAAAAACTTTGTCTCTCCAAGCCGCCGTCCTTAAAGCACCCACCAGGAAATTGATTTTCATCTACATCATTAATTTCGATGGCTAGAAAGGACTTGAATAAATGAATAATTTCAATTCATACAATATTCCCGAAGTTAACGTTTATCTTAACGAAAAGTAGTCACTGAATGAAGGAACGCGTTCTCTTTCTTCTTGCGTCATCAACAGAGTAAAAAAAAAAGAAAAAAAAGTGTCTGGGAATAAGTTAGTTGCTCCTTAATAATAAGTCAAATATTAATTGTAAAAGGAATTAGTTGAATGAGTGCATCAATTCTCAGTAAATTGAACTTAATTTATCAGCTGACGTACTTTGCACGTGCTAATTGAACCAAATAAGGAAGAGATCATGTGAATTAGGCTTGATATATCGTACGATAGTTACATTACTGTAAGCTGTGCTTGTGATAGATTATAGTATTGTATTGTGTAAGACAGCAGAAAAACCGAAGTACACGTTCACTGTAATCAGATCGATAGTAGAACCCTTGAGAGTTAGAAGAATAAAATCCGTGTTAAAATAGAATGTGGAAAGTGTGATAGATACAGTCCTCAGTTAAACCAGCGAGCGGAACAAAAATTCCGCGACACCTGGTCCTTCGAGCCGGATAAGTCGAAATGTCTAGGAAAAAAGTGAGAGCAGGGCACAGACGATTTCTGGCCAGCGGCCTTCGACGCCTGTTTAGGAAAAGACGCTGCAAGGGCTGAACTGATAAAATGGAAGGTGACTTTGGAAGAACAGCTAGAGAAGATCTTGTCTCTAGACAAGCATATTTTGGCCAACCTCGTCGCAAACGAAGATTCCACCGAAGACGAGGTCACGGAAGAGATTACGAGAGCGGCGAGCCTAAAGGCAGAAGTGACCCAAAGATTGGTGGCGATCGACGAAAAACTAACAGCTGTGCCGAACATGTCGCAGCCTGAAGCAAACACAAGCCAAGTGGTGAGTTTGCCTCCAGCCTCAAACCAGAACGGGGTGCAAAATCAGCCAAGCCCAGCGACGACCGACCAAAAAACCGCCCGAGTAAAGCTTCCAAAACTACAAGTACGAAAATTCAGTGGAAGACTAGAACATTGGCAGGATTTCTGGGACTGCTATGAGAGTGCGATCCATCGCAACGAAGGCCAGTCTGATGTGGACAAGTTCTCGGACTTAAGGGGATTACTCCAGGAACCGGCGAGATCTGCTATTGCGGGATTCTCCTTGACGGCCGCGAACTATGCAGCCGCTGTAGAGCTGTTGAAAAAGCGGTTTGGTAAAAAGATTGCGATTTAAAGAACCTTGGTAAACGAACTTTTGAACACGCAACCAGTGTTCAACGACGGTGACCGTAATTACTAAAAGAAATAATGACCTAAAACCACCTACAACCATCTAAAACCACCTACAACCACCTTCAGAATACTATTGTGTGACAATTTGTGATAATTTAAATGCACACCGAAAATGTTGTCGCATGTCATGACCAGGGAAAAACACCAAGAGAATTCCTCAAAATTGTTTTATGTATTCATCACAATACAAGAATTTTTGAGATTTGTATTTCCTTTCTCCAATGGAAACTGTCTTTATTTGTGGCGGTAAATTTGAGATCGAAGTAGGTGGTTCGCACGTTAACTCATGCCACCATGCTGGTGGAAGTAAACAATAGATATCTCATTAGCTCCTTTTGTTCGTCTACCAGCATTTGAATTTGACGAGATCGTACGATAGTTATATTACTGTAAGCTGTGTTTGTGATAGATTATAGTGCTGTATTGTGTAAGACAGCAGAAAAACCGAAGTACACGTACACTGTAATCAGATCGATAGTAGAACCCTTGAGAGTTAGAAAAATAAACTCCGTGTTAAAATAGAACATAGAAAGTGTGATAGATACAGTCCTCAGTTGAACCAGCGAGCGGAACAAAAATTCCGCGACAAAAAGGTTAAAATCTTCAAGTGCTGATTAGATAGTGAATAATTAAAGAGGCGACTTGAGGTTGCTGTAAAATGTCAAAAATAGGTCCCAGGTACGTTTCCTTGAGGTAACAAAGACGAGAATTTGTTAATGATATACCGTTCGTCCCCTCAGGCAAAACGCAAATTTTCTCTAATGCCCGTTGGTGGGTAGGGGGCGTTTAGCGTCGAATATGTAACCTGAAGAGGAAAATAGTAATGATTTGATGATGAAGGAAATAAATACCTAAGACTAAATATTGTTGAAGATTGTAGGTTTTTTTATCATAAAGAATGGAGAGCGTCTATATATTGTACCCTCAGCCGCAAACATTCAAAACTATTTCGTGTTCGTATATATTTGGTTTATTTTTACTTGACATTCCGGCAGGGATATCATCTGCTCCTGGTCCCTTTTCTGGCTGAAATTTAATATAAAAGGCTTGTAATCAATATCTAATGAATGACGAACATTTGATCCCTGCGAAACTGAGCTCCGTGTGAACTTCTCATATGTCTGTTTTATCGAAAAGCAGAAAAAGATATTTCGATCTGTTGCACGTGCAACATAATCGCAGCCCACGTGCACTCTCAAATAACATTATATAATATTTTTTCAGGCTTTAACCGCAGTTTGTCAAACGAAAAGATAAAAAAGGGTACAGCGAGTGATTTTCGTGATTTCTAGGCTATGATTTTCAAAACGAAGTATCTACTCTATTTTATAATGGGAAAAATTAAAAGCAATGACTCGTCGAATTTTCTTGCAAAACAATTTAATAAAACTGTGAATAAACCCTATAAAACTACTCCGTAATCTTAAAACTGTCATTTGCCAAAAAATCAAAGTAGATTTATGCAGTTTAGGGATGCCGAGAATTTGAATGGATTGGCTCCGCTGAGTATTATTCAAGAATTTTGGCCTCTTATGGGAGGAGATTTGAATATGATCGACTTCACTTCGGGCTTTCCTTCCGACTTACACAAAGAATTGCGGTAATAAATGCGTCAGCCACTTGGACACAGGTTACGCGGAAGTCATCATCATCATCATCTTAATTCAAACACGGTAAAATACATTAGGCATTAACAATTTAATATGAAAGGTACAACTCATTACGAAAAACTATGTATAAACTATGAATATTAGTCTAATTTAAAATATTACTAACTATTACAGAAGGTAAATTAAATTAAAGCCTGTTTTACATGAATGCCGTGTCGGAGTTAATTAACGATCGTCGGAAATTAGCCAGAGATGTTGCTTGTCTAGCCTGCTGAGGGTAGGCTGTTCCAGAAGATTGCACCACTATAGCCAAAGCTATTTTTATAATAGTTAGTGCGTGGCAAGGGAATAGCAAGCTTATTTTCAGAATCGCGCAAAATGTGAGAGGTAATCACATCACTCCTCTGAATGAATTTCGAGGACAAATAATTGGGTATGAGGCCATTTAAGGACTTATAGGCCATCTCAGCCTTTAGTTTTTCACGTCGAGTTTCTAAATTGTCCTAGCCTAATTCTGTAGGTAGTTGGTTGGCGTCAGTATAAGAGAGCAAAATGAACCAGACGAAACACGAGGATAAGTTCATTTCTCAAAGATCTAAAAGAGGATTAAGGTTAATGATCTATTACCGAGATGTCCTCCCTGATATCATGAGCGTCTTATTGTGCGTCCTATATTTTCCTTTTCATCTTTCCAAGCATTTGAAACGTTTTTAAATAGTCTTTTTTTGTGTGCGCGTGAATACGTGAATGCCCTTCTAATTTCGTGGTTATTATCCACAATATTTTTTGTTATATATTATACTATTGCTTCTTTGAGCATGACCAATCGAAAATCTTCAGAACACGTATAAGTAAGTTGACTACAAATATGTAAAATTTCTTTTTTTTAAATAAACAATGTTTTGTTTTCTCATTTGTATTCAAATTTATCCTTCACACTTAGACTACCCGTCGCCCAACAATTATTTTTCAACACAGTATCCTCTAAAACATGATATTTTTTACATTATCTCATTACCTAAGTGACGAAAGAGCATCATTGCAATTTCTCAGTAAATACCTGCCAGGTGGCGTGACACAAAAGCAGCAAGCTGGACGTGTGACTCCTGACGTAACTCCACGTCTGACAGCTGGTAGCTGTAACTAAAGTTATCTGTTATAACCTTTTTATGAAACCTTCTCCCCTCTGACTATCTCCCTAAATTTGACTGATAGATGTTAGTGGTACAAGCTATTTTTTCCCTCACGCTCTATTAAAACAAACTCTTGATATAAAAATGTGGACAATAACCGGCTTTTTATCTTCAGTTGTATAAAAAGATGGATCATCCAGAATGGGAAATTGGACTTAGCCGACTACCTTCCAGCCTTCATTGTTACAAGATAAAGAACAACATCGCGCCTCCATTAGTAAAAAAAAACAAACAACTCTTTCTATTTTAAGATCTTGATACAAATTCTCCTTATTGGCTGCGAAACAAAGCTCATAATCTTGGTTCTGAGAAATTCAAGAACTTAAATAAACAAGATTCCATGGTTGTTTTTTTATACCTATAGTCACCCGTAGGTTGTGAAAGGGCTTAGTCCAAGTCCACCGAGACAGTTCATATTTCGTGGCTACTGAAGCACCCGATCAAGTTCTTCTTCCAAGAAATCGCAAATCGTTATCATTTGAAGACATCTTCAGTTCCCTTAAGTCTTGAGATCCTTCTTGCATGGGTTTGCTTTTCCCTGAACAAAGCCGTCTTTTTCTCCAGAATGTCTTTCATCTTGAAACCTACGCTGGCAATCGTTTTAATCAGTGTACACTTTTTTTGGCGATAGCTATCGCCTCACGCCTCGCATTTTCTTGTAAATTCTGCATAATTTCATTTCAGTTTTCTTCCAGTCTCTTGTCACAATGGTCTAAAATTCCTAGAGGGGGGAAATGTCGCAACGTAAGACTCCAACAAAAAGTATGAAGCACAAAATTGTGTATAATTAAACGTCGGAGGTAAATCACTAAGCAAAGAGAACAACAAAGTAATTAATAAACGTACTTTGAATGATCTGCTTGTAAGCGTTAGTAGCTGGCGATTCCGGTACTTCGGATAGAAATGATTTTCCTTCGTCACAACAGCGACCTATTCTAGGATCAAGCGGTACTTTGCCAAGAAAAGGCACTTTCATTTCAGTCGCCATTTTCTCTGCACCTCCGGTAGTGGGTGGGAAGATCTGCGACTCTTTCTGTATCAAAGACACAAATAAAGGTTTCCAAAGACGTCGACCTCTTAGTTTACCAAGTCTATCACACTTCCCTCTCGACACAAAGCAAAGACTGCAACTTCAGATGAGACCGCAGCTTTCCAACTAAATTTTGACCTTTTAAATCATGTCACTGATACACATACTTTTGTGCTTCTCCTTTTCTCATTCCAAGGTCTACAGAAAGAAATCAATCTTCTAGACTTGTTTGTGAAGGAAACTAAGATTCAAGTTGTCATTTATGAACTTTCTTTTTCAGCGTTACCTTCATTACCTCCTTTTTACCTGACTAACCCTCTGACCTACAAAATTTTTAAAGTTAATTCTCGTTTACATTTGCTGCAACATGTCATCTCTGCACGGCATCAAACTAAGTTAAGATCCCTATTTGCTAAATATGTAAAAAAATTGTTACGCAAAAATACCTTGCAATTGGGACAAACAAATCCACTCATATTCTCCACTACTCCAATCACAGGCATTTTCACTTTGTTACAAAAATTAATTTCCTTGCGCACATCAAGCAATGCAACTTCCTGAAAAAGAAAGAGAGAAGAAGATCAACCTTTACCAGGAGAGTCCATTGCCTTAACTCTAAAGTCACCTTCTTGCAACTGTTAGGTGGCATAATCAAAAATACATTACATTGAACTTTCTTTTCTTTGATTTGCAACTGGAGTTATAAGTTTGAACCAATTCATCTTTACAGTTAAGTCACTATACTTAACAACTTGGTTAAAAGATTGTTTGGCTGCAATGTTGAAGAAAGTCAACTTTAAAAAATTATTGAGAAACTACAATGTCTTCACAATAATTCCAGTGTCAAAAAAAGTTAACCACTTCACTCCCGAGATCTCATTAGAAATTCTTCCTACTGTCTGTTATACAATTCTTATAATGTTACTTGGGAGAACTTGGTATCTGAATCTGGGAGTGACTGCAACTCTCACCTGAGGAGTGGTTATGATAATGGCTCCATCAACATGTGTGTTACTCAAATACTGGACGATTGACAGGTGCTCATCAGAGGTGCCAGGAGGGGTATCCACCACTAGGAAGTCTACATCACCCCAGTCAACATCCCGTAAAAACTGTTTGATCAAACCTGTAACCAAAAACACACCAGTCATGATATTGGATTAGATGTAGATAGACGAGACACACTGAAACTTTTGCTCATCTATGATAAAGGTCGGTGTGTCTTCCTTTTTCTATAACCCTTGCCACTTTTCCTGGTAAAGCAAGAAGCGGCAATAAGTAATGCATACAATTAACTGATAGCTTATAATGATGATGATGGTGTGTAATTACTGACTGAGTGGGAGGGTCAGACAGGAAAATTTCCCCATCTGTCTGCACCTACCTCAGTCAAAAGCATTTCAACACATGATCACCACTCTATGTCTTTCTTCCTTTCTCCTTACACGGTTCGTACACTTTTGACCTGTTAAAATTCCATGACTTTTTCCATGACCTTTTGAAAGATTCCATGACCTGTTTGCAAACATTCTCACAATGCATGCTTCTGTTTATTTCTAATGAAATTAAATCAGATTTTTGGACTCGTCAGTTAACTTTTCAACTTTGGGTCTTATTGCCTTTCACTCAAAAAGAGCATATTGATATTCCATGACGTTCCATGACCCACACCTAAATTTCATGACTTTCCAGGCCTGGAAAATGAAATTTTGAAATTCCATGACTTTCCAGGTTTTCCATGACCTGTGCGAACCCTGTTCTTACCTTCAGATTCCGGTAAGTTTACAAATGCAGTTACTGTAATACCCTAGCTTTCCTGAAAGCTAAGTGCTATTGGAAACAAATGAATGATGAAAGTCTAACATTTTCTCAGTCTATGTAAGCAACTGAATTGCTAGACTCACTATGAGAGGCTGATTTTTCCCTAGGTGAGCGAGAAAGGACACATCCTTACCATTTTTCTTGGGTCCCCTCCAAATAACTGCATCACTGGGACTGCTTAGCAAGAACCCCACAGACATAACACCAAGATTGTCCTCTACATACTGAATAGAACAGAAAAGACCACTTAAAATACTTAGATTAAAGAAAAAAGTCTTCCTCTGTGCTTTGAAAGTGATGGGGGGTGTGACAAAAAAAAGGAATGATTGTTCTATTGCCTCAACAAGAAAGCTCATTAATGAATCAGAAGCATATTCAAAGCTCATTAAAGAAACAGAAAATGACATTACAGAAGTGTAAAAGCCACATACCACAGGTGACCATCCTGAACCACTTTGGTGAACCTGTGAACAAAACACACTGGTTAATTAGCTGGAAAGTAATGTTACTACCTTTACTTTTAGTTGTACAATAAGAAGCAAACCTATTTGCATTAAAAAGAAAAACTGAACAGAGAAGCAAAAAATAAAGGTAAACTTCTCACAACAGTCAACTATTAAGCATGTCTAAGGAATGTGTACAGTTGTCAGCAAGAAGGATGTTTGGAGCTAAGGAATGAAAACAATGAGACCATCTTTACCTGTTCACCCTCAAGACCCATCACTTTGGGTATAGAAGGGCCACAGATATCAACATCCAACACTGCAATCTGAAATGTAAGGAAAACAATATAATGCATATGTTCTCCCTCCTTTAAATCTTATGGGTTTCTCCCTGGGGAATGATATAAATAGGTCAAGTTTTTGTCACGATAAACAGTCAAATTGCACCTCAAAGGAAAATATGAAAATTATGTATTTGAAAGGCAGATTCAAGAAACAAGGTCACTGTTCTTCTCTGAAGCAATTCAAAACTTGAAAAAAAAAAAAATCAAGCTTGAATGGGGTTCAAATCTGTGACCAGTGGTGCAAAACAAATATCACTCCAGCACTCTCAATTCATGAGCAATTGGGCTAATGTGCATAGTTACTTCCAACTCTGTGCTTCTATAATCAACTTTCGTAAGTCATAATTACAGTTCATAACCCCTACAATCTTTCTTGTATTATAAAGAATTACACCTGTTTACTTTCATCAGCAGCCAGACCATGGGCTAAGTGAGCTGTGAAAGTACTTTTCCCAACTCCACCTTTACCAGACAACACCAAGATTTTGTGCTTGACAGTTGACATTCTTTCCTTCACTTCCTCCACAGCTTAAGCAAGAAAAAGATTTCTATATTTAGTGAATTGAAAATCATTGAAGAGAAACTTTCATGCCTTACAGCAATTTGTCAAAATTTGTATTATTATACTAGTTACTGCTTTTCATGACGAAAACATAAATAGGGGATGGACCGTTCATGTGATAAATTCAAATTTGCCCTTTCGTGTACAAGAAAAATTATAAGTCATAAGAGAAAATCATTTTCTTTTGTTCCTACATCCTCACAAGATGTACTAATGAACTGTCTCCTGCTGGGTTGGGGACTACGTAATTAATAATCTCTCCTAAAGCCCTTTAACAAAGGTAGCTCATTCCCTTAAAAGGATATACTTAACAATTAGAAACACAGTAGGCCAAATAATGCATCAGTTTAATTGAAATAATGATTTGGATTCCTTGATAGAGTATACAAAGATATCCAAACGATATAACTTTGAATTTAGCGAGGAGTGACAATTGAAAAATTAAGGGCTTATCTGAGGTACACAAAATCAGTAAGATTCATTGAAGTTCTGCGTGCATTAGGCTGATGTCATGTTCCCAGGGAATTCTGAAACACTGAGGCAACCGATGACGACATATGTATAGAGGGAATGACAGTGCATAATTTTTAATTTCGTTTCTTGTAGGTATGGCAGTGATATTTCAAAGGAATAAGGGAACTTTATTCTTTCTTGAAGTCTCCATGATCCACCAGGGGGAATATTCTGTCCGGTTAAACGTAAAATAAGTCATGTAAAGGTCAACTTCTGAACATGTGGGAAATCACGACAGCCCAGCAACACATTCTAGTAGTCATGTTATTAATGACAAAGCACAATTTTCAGATTTTCGCTTCTCCCCTACTAATGAGGAAGGAAGAAATTTTCGTTACTATGCCATTCGAGCTTTATGTTGCAACAAAATGCAATCAGATTACCTGGATCTGGTCCCAAAGGTTTAGAAGAGGAACAAATACTCTGGTTTGGACAACCTTGACATGCAGCGCCCTTTCCCGCCTGCTCACTACCCGTTCCTGGGCAGTCTGATAAGATAGAGAAAACATCAATCAATTCGGATAAAAAAAGTCTCGATGGTCAAGTTCTCAGATCGCGTTGAGCAAATAGAAAATATACATAAAATCTTACGTTCAGGGGCATTTTCCGGAACGTCCGCCATGTTTGATTTCCAAGCGAGCCTGCGATCAAAAGATACCTCAAGCGCATGCTGTTCAAACAGTAAAGAAACATGGCGGAAGAAGGCTCGGGTAATTTTCTGTTTAGCTTTTCCGCTTTATTTAAATGAAATTAATGTTTTGAATGTAAATTTTATTTATTTGAATCATCTGCTTATCGAAAAAAAGCATTTTAAGTCTTTCCTCAATGTACTCTAGGGGTGGAAGCAGAGGATAAATTGGAGACAGAACCGGATCCTTGTCGGTCCAAATGTTGTCCAGAAACTTTTGTCGAAAAAGAAACTGAAAATACGAATGAAAGGTCCAAGGAAGATTTTAGCGTTGAGGAGAAAGAAAAAGACACGACAGAAGAAGAGCAAGTTAATTCCAGTAGAGAAACTGCGAGTTTTCGTGTTGTTTGGAACAAGAAAAACTACGAGGTGACTTTTCCTGTGGATGAAACAGTCGATAGTCTCAAACAACACATCGAGAAGCTCACAGGTTTGGAAAGGAAAAGATTATTCAGTATTAATTTACAGAGTTGTGAATCTGTGCTGGAACAAGTGTAAATGTAGACTGAGACACCTCTCAGTTCTTTCATTTACTTTACAGTTTGGTTAGTCCTGTTAGTTACAAATCACCCAGGTCAATACTAAAAATAAAAATGCTGAACTGACTAACAAAATTATCACTTGTACTAAAAATTTAAAAACATGTCCAAACAGCAGCTTTGATGGTATGTGCCATGATTCCTACTACTGTTAACAGGAATCTGCATGTTTTTTTTTTTTTTTTAAGGGCCCACTTGACATTAATATTTACCCCTAAGTAGAAGAAAACTTTGTGAGATGGGGGCACCTACCACTTCCTTGTTCATACTTCCTAAGGAGGAAGGGTGTTCATCTGGTCCTATCTCCACACACAAGGAAATAGCCAGGATTATAAGGAGGTAGTTTCTAAAGAGATTGAGATTATTCCATGAGAAGTGTGCCCATCTCTCCAATCATAGACTTGAATGATAGTATTTCATAGTGTAAATCTCAGTATGTATGTAAAGTAGGTAAAGTCTGTTTATGAGCCTAGTGGCCCATTAGGCCGGTGCTTAACTCCGGTTTCTGTAGCCTGAAGCGACTAGGAGTATTTCTATCCCCCCCCTGGATGGGATGCTAGTCCTTTGCAGGGTTACCCCCAGCATTAAATTGCCGGTACCCATTTAAACACCTGGGTGAAGAGAGGCACTGTGAGAGTAAAGTGTCTTGTCTGAGAACACAACACAATGTCCCGGCCAGGGCTCGAATCCAGACCACTCGATCCGGAGTCGAGTGCACTAACCATGAGGCCACCGCACCTCCACACCTCAGTATGTATGAAATAAACTAATTTATTGCACTGGTGAGCAAGTGAAACAATTGATTAGTGTCTAGGGTACAGCTAATGCATGGAGCACAAGGGGCAGTTTTCCTACCCTCATCAACTGATTATTGTAACCAGAGAAGAACTCTAAGGAGCTCATCTTTTAATTAGATAGGGATATTGTTAGTTTGAATTGAAATCCATAATTCGATCTCTGCACTCTCTGTTCCTTTTCAGCTGACCCAATGGTAGTTTTTTGGTTGGCTGTGTCATATGAATATTTTTTAATGTTATGAGTCAATGTGTTTTTTTTGTCTTTCAATCACAGGTTTACCAGTTTCAATGCAAAAACTAATGTATAAAGGTAATGGAGATCAAGAGAAAGTTTCTTGATTGGTATATGAAAGTTTGTTATTCTTTCCTCCAGTTTCCGAACACTTTCTTGTAAGTTAGTAAGGAGAAATTGGTTTTATATCAAGATGATACCCTCTAGCTGACACTTTTGTCTGTTTTCATCACCTGTTTTCTGGATAATCCTTTGATTTGGTTAGAAATCTCATGTTACCGTAATTTCCGGCTGTTTACCCACGGGTGATCTGTTGATTTTGTCGTAAACACGTGCAACTGCAGGTAAAAGGGAGGTGCAGGTTATGTGACAATTTTGAAATCTTCTGGTAGCTGAATTGAAAAATATTCTCACCTACCTGTGTTTCCACCTCTCAAATGAATTTTATTGTATTAAGAGTGGCACAAAGCAGCACAAAAACGTGATGCCAACTCGAGTTTATTTCACGCACAATTAATAGTGCGACGAACAAATTTTTATTGGCACGCGTGTAAACAAAGCCTTGATGGTGACAAAAATATTCCAAGGGTATCTGGTGCATCAGTAACAAATATCCAGTTAACACCAGCTTAAGCTGAAGATAATTTTCCCATTTTAAGGGACTTGTTAAGCCCAGTAGAACTGGAGAAATTGATTTTTTTGAGAAATCAACAATTCAACATGGCATTGAACGATCGCTCACACGAAATGTGGTCACAAATTCGCATTCTGTCGAGTGTGAAACATTGTAAATTCTAGAGCCTTTTGTGTAAATTTTCTTTGCTTTTTAAGGTGTGGGTTATCCACCAGTGCAGGTAATCTGTTGACTTTTTTTTTCGCCGTATGCAACAATTGACCAGTGCGGGTAATTGGCCATGCGGCTAAACTGCTGGAAATTATGGTAATAATTCTTGAGAGTTCCAAGATTAACCTTTTATACCCTAACACAAGTATGCATATTCTCCACACTTTTCTCCAAACATTTCCAAAGAGGAGAATTTGTTTAACAAAGTCATGCGACACAAATTTTTCATTACCAAGGTTGCAAAATATTTTATTTGTTTTTTCTTTTTTTTCAACTTCAGGACTAGTTAAGGATGGAAGCAAAACGTTACGAGAATTAAATGTTTCTAATGGAGTGAAGATGATGGTTGTTGGCTCAACCATTAATGATGTAATGAAAGTAACACCCCCTCCTCCAGGGACCTTAAAAGATGAAAAATCAGGCACCTCGGGTAAGGTGGGCTGGGATGGGTTTACATGTGATATTTGATGGTATTAAATTAAAGAAAAAATTACAAATACCTTTGTGAGCAAAATGTATGGAATATTTTTGCACAAGGAGACTAAAAAATGTGTGAGAAAGTTTGAATGATGCAAAAATGTTCTAAGATTGTCATACTTTCTATTTCTTGATAGGTTCTTCAAAGGAGCCACTTAGTAAACAAAAGGTGAAGAACAGTCAGATATTATCAATTTCTTTAATTGTATGAAAATTTCCTTTTTCATTTTGTATTTGTGCAATATCAAGTCATTCTGTTGTTTGATTTACTTTGTTGGGACTCAAGAGGTACTAAGAAATGATTTTCATTATTTCAATTCCAGATGCATAAAAAAGTTTTAGACAAAGGAAAACCAGATGATGTCATGCCTGGATTTAAAACTAAAAAAGTATGGTTTGCCTAAGGAATGATATGTTGAACAATGGTTTGACTTAGTTGGTTTCCTTGATTAAGTGTCTAAGCTCTAATAAGTGCCCTCCCATGAAGAAGTCTCAACCCCCTCACTTTCTTAAATTGTAGGGATACAAGGAAAACCTAATTTCCTTGCCACCCTTGCTGCATTTAATGGACGGTAT